GGCATCCGTGGCTGAGCGACAGCGCAGGCCCCCCGGGACCCCTGCCCTGGGCGGTGTGGTGACCGGATGGTGACCCCCGGGGGCTGGGCGGCACGGCCAGGCCCACGTCCTCCCACCGCGCTGTGGGTACGGAATTTATGGAATTGGCGAGGAAGAGACAGTTGGACACTGAGGTTTCAGGAAAAGCCTTCAGTCAAAGAGCTGCCGGTCCAGGGACCCTAAGATCCAGGTCCTGAGCCCCTCTGTTCCCCAACCCCCAGCTTCTGTAGGGACTCACTCCCCCAGCCTGGAGAATCAGATGGTTAGCTTCAGGGGTGGGCGAACTTTCTGACTCGAGGGCCGCAGTGGGTTCTTAAACTGGACCGGAGGCCGGAACAAAAGCATGGATGGAGTGTTTGTGTGAACTAATATAAATTCAAAGTAAACGTCATTACATAAAAGGGTACGGTCTTTTTTTTTTAGTTTTATTCATTTCAAACGGGCCGGATCCGGCTGTAGTTTGCCCACGGCTGGGTTAGATTGTAGCTAATTCCATCCGGGAGGGCACCCTGACCTCCCTCCAGCTAAGCCAGCGGTTCTCAACCTGCCTCACGCTGCGACCCTTTAAATACAGCTCCTCATGTGGTGGTGACCCCCAACCATAAAAGTATTGTCGTTGCTCCTTCATCACTGTCATGTTGCTGCTATTATGAATCACAATGTAAATATCTGATCTGCAGGATGTATTTTCATTGTTACACATTGAACATCATTAAAGCAAAGTGATTCATCACAAAAACAATATGTAATTATATATGTGTTTTCCAATGGGCTGAGGCGACCCCTGTGAAAGGGTCGTTTGACCCCCAAAGGGGTTGCGACCCACAGGTTGAGAACCGCTAAGCTGAGCGGTAACATCCCAGGTTCAGGGCCCTGCGGATTGGGCCAATTAGGTAAACAGCTCTTGCGAGACCAGAGGGGGGATGTGCATTTGGGAAGCTACGTAGGTACAAGGTCAGGCGCTAGCCTCCTACTTTTTTTTTTTTTTTTTTTTTTTTATCACAAATGGAGTTAAGTATCAGCTCGCAAGATTGCGCAGCAGCGAGCAGGTTACTGAGACACATCCAGGTTGCCAGCCCCCCAAAATGTCTTATGCTCCCCATCCCCGGGGCCGCGGTGCTGGTGGGAGGCCATGGTAATGAATTCTTTTTCTTTTTCTTTTTTATAATGTTTTTCTTTATCGGTTCAGGTATTACGTGTGTCCTCATCGCCCTTTGCCCCGCTGGGTTGAGTTTTTAGTTGGGGGCGGTGTTGTAACAGCCTTATTGAGGAGTAATCAGTAGGTTTAAAGTGTGGAGTTAAAGTGCCGGCCGATTCGCAGGTGCACACACACGCCCGCCCTGCTCCCACCAGCCGGCACCTCTGCCAGTGCAGGGCCTGCCCCGCGGTGGGCAAGCCCCAGGGGCAGGTTCATTTTCTCAGGATTCAGTCGCCAGGAACATGCCAGGTGGCCCCTCCTGGGCACCTGTCTTTCTGGACCCTCTAGGCCAGTGGTTCTCAGCCTTCTGGCCCTTTCAATACAGTTCCTCATGTGGTGACCCAGCCAGAAAATTATTTTCGTTGCTACTTCATAACTGTCATGTTGCTACTGTGATGAATCGTCATGTAAATATCTGATATGCAGGATGGTCTTAGGCAACCCCTGTGAAAGGGTCGTTTGACCGCCAAAGGGGTCGCGACCCACAGGTTGAGAACCGCTGTTAAACCAAAGAGCCCGTTTGGGGGGCTGGGGTGCCCCCTCAACCGGAGTGCTGTGGGTGCACCAGGCACCCCCCCACTCCCGTCGTCTGCACGCGTGTCGATTGCAGGGGACCGCCTTGGGGGGAGGGAGAGTCACTGAGGCTGGGCCGAGGCCACGGGGTCCTGGCTGCATTTACACTGGGTGCCGGGCCTGGCTGGCGCCCCACCCGATGTCTACGAGTGTGAGTGGCGGTGGGGTCCCTGCCTGGCGCCCACCCGAGAGCCTGTGGAGGCCCTCAGAGGAGGAGCTCGTCCTGGTCCCACCCGCATGCCCCACGCAGCGCCCGCAGCCACTTGTTTTTATAAATATATATATTTTTTATTGATTTCAGAGAGGAAGGGAAAGGGAGAGAGAGATGGAAACATCAATGATGAAAGGGAATCATTGATCGGCTGCCTCCTGCACGCCCCACACTGGGGATGGAGCCTGCAACCCGGGCCTGTGCCCTTGGAATCGAACCCGGGACCCTGGAGTCTGCAGGTCGACGCCCTATCCACTGCGCCACACCAGCCAGGGCGCCATACACTCTCTTTATTCACAGACTTGTGTCCCGCTCCAGCCCCGACCTGGGGTCAGTAACTTACTTGTCTGGCTTCGCGGAGGCTCCTCCGTGTTTGTGCTCAGGTGGTCTGTGAGTGTCTTTCAGAAAACGGTTCTTTTATATGATTCGTCACGGAATGTGTTCTAATAAATCTTTCTATCATGTGGCCAAAGAAAAGTGTGCGGTTTGGCGTTTGACATGTGTTCACGGTGAGTGCAAACAACCCTGCAGGAGAGTGGGTGCAGCCTGCACCCCCAAAAGTGCCCCCACGTCCCCTACCTCACCGGCCGGCCCCCAGGGAGCTGACTCCCAGAGGTTCCTCACCAAAGCGTGAGAGCAGGGTCCAGAGCCTTTTAAAATCGATGGAAACCACAGCTTCTTCCTGTTTGTCTGTGTCGGGCGCCAAGGCCTCGAGCTGGGAACAGTTGCATGAAACCTGCCCCTTGGCTGACAGGGGCCTCGGGCCTGTGCCTGGGGTGAGGGGCTCGGTCCTGGGGTTTAGAACATCGTTGCCTTTCGTCGTGTCTGCTTTGGAGGGAGGCGAGTTTAATATTCCATTTGCACCTGCACATCTGGCCTCGCACGACTTACAGTGAGATGACCGCGCTGACACGGACAGTTTTTAAAGCGCTCGAACGAGAATGGGTGCGGCTGGTTTTGGTGCCGGTAAGGTTTCAGAGGGAGCTGATCTGAAACTTTAATGCCTTTTTTTTGTTATTAATCCTCCCCCAAGGATTTTTCCCA